TTCGCTCAAGGCCAGCTCCAAAAGCCCAGTCTGAGGCCCGGCCCACCCGATGCCTATTGTTATTTTTAATAGAAAATAATAAATTTTTGGTGGAAAAAGTAAAAAAAAAAAAAAAAAATTTTTAGCCCCACCCAACCCCCCCCAAAAGCCAGAGCCCATGGGCCTGGTCCCGAGGCCACCCACGTGGTCCGTCCAAAATCCGAATACCCTTAGGCTTGGGCCTGGGCCTAGTTTTTTGGTCTGTGGGTTGGCTTGGCCTGGCCCGATTTTTTGACGGGAGCCCGCAAGATCCGACATGGTCTTGGTCCGCGCTAAAATTACACCCTTACTTGTTGGTTGTACCTTTTTTTTGTGTAAATGTATTTTTTATATATATAATTTTATTAGTGATAACTTTTTAAGTAATTTTTTAGTTTTTTGTCTTTTTTTAACATGCCAAACCAGTCCTTTGTCTTTGTTTGGGATATGAGTTGGTTTTTTAATTTTTTGACTTTTTGATTATTTTAGATTGGGGTTAAAAAGTCTCGTTTACGATAGATTTTTTTGATTTTTTTGACTTTTTGTGAGAAAAAAATTGAAATGATTATGTTTTAAATGTGCCATTTTGTCTTATTAGGCTAAATTTTTTTTTTTTTTTTTTATTAAAATAGCCCCAACCTAACCCAAACCTTCATGCCAAACATAGCCCTTATGACTATTTTAGTTTGAGATTAAAAAGTCTCATTTGGAATGAGTTTTTTTTTTTGACTTTTTTTAGAAAAAAAAAATTAAAATGATCATGGTTTAGATGTGGCATTTTATTTTATCGATTTTTTCAGCCTATTTTATTTTTTTGACTAAAATACTAACCAAAATAGCTTTTGCCAAAGACAGCCTTTATTTGTGTGTGTGTGTATGTGTGTTTTTTTTTTTTTGATTTTTATAAAAAAAATGAAATGATTATAATTTGAATGTGACAATTTATCTTATTAATTTTTCAACCTATTTTATCTTTAATTTAACCAAAAAATAAAAAACAATCAACATCCCAAACCTTAAAATCTTAAATTTGGAAGGGATATCTCTTGTAATCATCTAGATTAACGTGTGGTACAATTCAAAAATGTTTGAGAGTTCTAAATCAAGAACTTTAATAGAGCCTTAATGGGTGAAGTCCACCAATTTATGTAGATACCGTTTAGTAACATTTACGTTTTCAGTTTTCTGTTTATATTTACAAAAATTTTAAGAACTCAAATAAAAACTTGTTTGGTAAAATTTTTGATTTATAAATCAGTGGTCTCAGTTTATAAATTTGGCCAAAAAATGAAAACACAAAAAATGTGTTTTCGTTTTGAGTTTTGAGTTTTTTATATATATGGCATGTCGTCCTCATAATTTTAAATAATCCACAAAGAAATAAGTCAACAAGAAAGAGTAGATTAGTTGTCTATTGTTGAATTTCAATGCTTACCGACAAAAAAAGAGAAAAAATTCTACTTCATGCATAGCGACCTTTAACCGTCATTGAAATAAAAATTACCTAATATGTCTGAAAAATCATGTGTCCATATGTCGGGCCAATAATATGTTATGATTTGTCATTATTTTTTTGTTATTATGATCATATATTCATTTAATATGTTATTATTGATTGTATAAACAGCTATAATAAAATTTTCAATCCCGCTTGGTAGCTCGAAATTCCCGTGACTCGACTGGCCCGAATATCAAAATGATGTCGTTTTGATTTTTTTTTTTTTCTTCTCTCTTTCTATTTTTTTTACAGATCTGTTGATCTGAAGATTGAAGAAGAAAAGAAGAAGAGGAGAGAAGAAGAAGATCATCAGCCAATAAAAAATCAAAATCAGAAATCAAGAACATCCTCATCGCGAAGATCAGAAAAAAATCAGAAAAAAAAAATTCTTTGATT